ATCATTCGTTATTATTCTTGGTTGTTATTGGTTCGTCCGTTTATCTAACGATCCTGCTACCCCTCTACCACATCTGGGGGCTCAGCCGGTGATCGAAACCGGGACCTGATGTGGTAGAGGGGTAGCAGGATCGTTAGATAAACGGACGAACCAATAACAACCAAGAATAATAACGAATGATAATCACGAATAATAAACTACATATAAAAGGGGGTGGTTTTATAGTGGGTGTATAAGACAGCAAAAAAATGGAGAGACACAACAATTTCGGTGTATTTTGACTATTTGAATTATTTAGATTGATACATAGATTGATACATTTAGATTGATTGATACACAGATTAATACATATGAATGATATCGTTCATGAATGTTTACATTATTGCCAATTTTCTCATACAAATATTAAACGATAACATAATTGCACTAATTTTTCAAAACACATTCAAACATTTGTAAATCGCGTGACTCGCGACATGTGCCTCTCGAAAATTGACATTTTCAAAAAGATAGAATATTCATCTTGTAACATTCATCAGCCTACTATTTAGTTATTCGATGTGTCTTTATACGAATATTCATAACGATTCATACAATACATATTCATCTACTTTATTCACCGAAATGATATCCGTTGTCTTCAAAAGAAAAAAAAAACTGCACTGCAATTCCCAAATGCAATTCCATTATTTCTAAATATTCCACGATTTTTCATACTATACCTACAATCGATTACAAAATTTCACTTCAAAAAATAAGAAGCGCAACAAAACGAATCGACTCAAAACCTTTTCAAAGCGTTTCCTCAATGAACACTTTGAAGTGGAATTCAAACTGAATATATATCCGCCTTCGACATACGCATAACACAAATCCCTATAACAAATACCATATTATTGAATAATCAAACAATACTTCAGATTCATAATGCATAATCAAAATGTTAAAACGTCATTTGGTATTTTTTGTGAAAAATCAAAAACAAAGCCATAAATAACAAAAAAAAAACACATTAAATAAGCTCAAATACAACAAAAACTAAAAGATTTTTCACGATGAACTGAATAGGTTAAAGTTGAAATGTAATATTATTCGGAATAAATGACACCTCTTCCACTCGTCAATTTGTTTGAATTTAACACGGAACCATCGTGTGTCCGCTAAACGATTATGAAACTCTTCGTGTGCTTTGCGATCCTTCATTGAATCTATATCATATACCATTCCACACTGCAATTCATTTTTGAAGTTTAATAATACAATAATAATAATATAATATAACATAATAATACTACAATATTAATGCCTTATTATTGTTACTCGGACATCGAGTGGTTGTTTTGTCAATGGCTGTGAGTGATCAGTGGAATATTTATTTTATTAGAGTTATGATTACTTACTGGAATGATATTTGGCTGCGATTAATTATGCAAAGTATTCACGGCAACTAATTAACTACTCGGTTGTGTTCGGTTGACCTACTCGGCTAGCCATCGGAGTGGCGTAAATTGAGGCTATTTGGCTAGCAACGTTACAAACGTTTGACAGCCTGGCCAATCCAGGAATCCAGAAACAATAGCAATGTAATAACAATAATAATAATATAATAAAATAATAATGATAATGATAATAATAATAATGACCATAACACAACTCAAAGAATTTATCAGCAGTAATATCGAAACAATCCATAAAATCGTTCGTTATATAATAACACTAAGAATGAGAATCTGACAACAAAGATAACCTTTTTGCAGCGTTGCACTCCGAACTCTTTCTGTCCCGCATCCAGTGTCATCTGCTTGGGATCGTCATTTCGGATGCATAACAACTTTCGTTTGCGTTTCGATGACGAGTCGCATCTTGGCGGTAGATTGAAGTCGAGCGTATTATTATGGGATTGACTGTTCCAGAGTGGTGATAACGATGTGGACGGTATTGTATCGGCCGGCAATGACATCCTTTCATTCGCGTTCGTGAAATAATTGGTGATTGGCTTTTGTCTGAAGTTGGACATCTGCAATTTATCGCTCATTTAAATCTTCACTGTCTCATCGTTATTTCTTTCCATCGAGTTACGTTACTTGCAATGTTTACTTACAATTTACGTTGCTTACAATTTTTCGCGAAATTTCAGCACAACTTGAAGCTTACACTGATCGTGAACGATTTTCTGAATTGGCGTATTTGCTTGATGATTCGGTACAGATTACGTACCGTTTGTTTTTCTTAAGATACGTAAACCTGTCACATCTGCTCTATTGCCCTCCTTTCACTGCGTTGTTTTGTGACATTTACCATCTGATATGAACGATCATTGCAATCGAATTTATTCGACACTAATTTCGTTTTTGCACTAATTTCAAAACATACAAAATTTTGAGATTTCTATCCGAATCTACATTAATAAAATAACAATTGTTGTGCATTACAATGAGCAGCGATTCACTGATTCTACACAACACGGCACAACAACTCAGTTTAAATTAGAAGCAGTTAGAGACTGCATCCGAACGAAACTTCATTTCGCTCGAAATCAGACTAAAATCAACTTCTCGCCATTCAGACATTCGGAATTGTGACCAAGAATTTCGGAATTTTCCGGTCGGAATCCGACCGAATTCAAAGTTTCACTGATATTCCGACATTCGGAATTCTCACCGAAATTTTTTGTCGGATTTCTGCGATCGAACGTCGATTCGATCAGATGCCATCACTAGAATCAGTTGATAAACTGTGTCACACAGTGGCAAGCGAGCCCACGAAATGAGCTCAGAAAGAATAAGCACAGTACGGTTGGTTACATCTCTTCAGAACACACTCACGATCAGTGTCTCCTATGCTTTGAATCTTAATGATTCTTTGTGTTCGCTTTTTCAAAGCTTCAAAGGAACAGTTGATTCGTGCTGTTTCCAACATTTGCGTCTTATGTAACGTATTTCCATTGCTTCTCAACAGAAAGATATATGAAGCAAACTGATATATTTTAACACAAATATGTAACGTAGAAAATGCTATTTTAACACATATTTCGACTTATATGCAACATTTTTAAAACAATGTCCCTCAGCCCTGCACATATGAGTGATAACAGTTTATTATCAGATCCCTGGATTTTTCTAACATTTTCAGACATTTGTTCTTTTTTTTCAGACCTATCAGATGGTTCCTAACATTTTATTTAATGAACTTCAATCCCTTGAAATATCGCATCTCACGTCTTCTTCTTAAAACGTTTTCAATCTAGGTGAAATCGAATATGAACAAAGAATTTAAATTTATCGAACGCAAATAAATTTTCTCATACGTACATTATTATAGTGAAATAATCAGTGTATATCATCATACCGTAACATGACGAACGTCTTGAAATTTTAAAGATAAACAATCCGAAGCCTAATAAAACAAAAAACAACAATTTAAGAAATGTAAGATTGGGCAGTTTAATTTTCAGATTAACAAAATTAGGAAATACAAAACAAACAAATAAAGCTTATTTTAAATTTACAAATACGGTCATGCATCAAATGAACTGGGCATAACAACAATGCGACAACAAGAACATTCAACAATTCAGATAGTAACAACTAGTGTGATGCGGGCAACGGGGACTTTTCTTTTCAATTTTTGGAGTCCTCAACTTTTTTTGAACCGATCCCAACAGCGAAAGAGACTCCTTTCCTTGCCACACCACTAATATCAACTACAATACAAATACCAAGACTATAATACAAATAACAACACTACCTCAAACAAGTGAATTACACGAACGAATAATCGTCAACACATCCTCATAACAATAACAAATCGTCAAGAATCACTAATCCTATGACCACCATCAATATTTACTCATATACTGATCATGAAATGCAATCGGAGCATGTAGATACGCACACGTGTTTATCTTCTTATCTGAAACACTCGAAACCTTATCACCTCATTCAGCCAGTGTTCAATATTCAATGAATGTTCTCAAAAACGGACCATTTGAAAATCGAATCCATTTCTTCAGAACTGTCCTCATTTGCTCGACATTCATCTCATGAAATTTCAATCGACGAATATACATTTGCTGAAATATTTATCATTATTATTACTATCATCATGTTTATTATTACAATATACTCTCTATTGCCATATAAAAACGAACGAACAATCGGATAACAAATAAAAACGACCAAATAAACGTCTTCATCGTGCATCTGATCAATTGCCTTCGATTTCAGCAGTAATTCATCTAAATGCCTCAATAACACGGCTCTATCATACATCCTCCGTACTCCCATAAACGGAAACACGTGATGAATACGCGCTAAGTGGTACTGAAATTGATTGCGATTACAATAATAAATAATACATAAAATAATAATAAAAACAGTAATAATGACAACAATAATAATGACAATAATAATAGCAATAATAATGACAATAATAATGATAACATTAATAATAACAACAACAATAATAATAATCCATTAATAAAAATAAATAAAACTCACTAAATGCATGAATGAAAGACTTTCAGCACGAGGTATCTGCATTGAGCGTAATCGATCAACCGAAAGAGGCATTTGACTGCTCTGAAAGTATTCATCATAATTCCACAAGTGGTGTAGTCAGGAGGGGACGGCAATGCAAAATGTTCCGACAATCCTTGAAATAGCTCAGTTTTTTTGGAGTTTATTTTTTCCTCCTTTTCCTTTTCTCCTTTTTTTCGGTTGGAATTCAGAATTTTCGGTTGGCATCTCAAAATGTCAATTCGGTCGGATTGCGATCAAACTGAAATTTCGTTCGGATGCCATCACCACTGCAAACTATTTTCCAAAACACTAAATGAGACAAAACAAATCAAACAGACAAACAAAACAAAACCAATTACGTATTGCTTCAAATGCTCGTGAATTGATTTAAAATGAAATTCGGCTGTATGTTTCAGTGATGAATTCCAATATTCCTTGCATTGTTTCGGTGACCAGAAGTGTCGTGTTAATACAAATCGCGGAAAAAACACACTGCAATCAATTTCTCGACAATATTAATAACACTGAGATTGTGATAATAATAATAATGATAATAATAATAAATAGATAAATAAACAACAGATAATAATAGTAATAATAACAATAATAATAAATAAAATAAAACGAACAGTGCCAAACCGATGAAATAAAACGTCATTGGTAACGGTAATAAAACAGCAACAATAATCATCTTTGTTATTTCTTCATTTGTCTGCAATTTTTGTTTAATCTTATTTGATTTGACTAAATTCATTCAAATAAAACAATAACAACAAATAATAACGATAATCATAATAAAATGAATAAAGAAAAAAACAAAACAATGACTTGAATGAGAATTTCCAATTCGTTCTGCGTTAATTGTGATAACTTTTTTGTTCCATTCGACAAATCTTTTCTCAATGTGAAATACTTTTTTATGTCTGATACGCACCATTTAGAACCTTTAATCAAATTAACCAAAGATGAAAATAAAAATGACAAGGTCATTCATTTCTATTCAATTTATCTGGAAACCATTTGATTGTCCATAAAAACAAAAATAATAACAATATTGATAATACAACATCACTAAAATATAACATTAATATAACTAAATAATATAATAAAATAATAACATTACTAAAATGAACAACAATAGAGTAAATAGTGCTAAAATTAAATAATAACTGATAACGAGCTAAACTAACCATTAACAACTATTTTATAAAGGCTGTACGTTTTCGGTGATTTCGTTTTTAGAAAATTTTCACATTTCTGCGAAAAAGTTGTTGAATTATGAGTGTACAACGATGGTGAGCACGATAAGAATCTTTTAGTAATATTGAGGTGAATACTCAAAGGATTGCTGCGTTGCGATATGACGATGCATTTCTTCATTAAACAAGCACTCATTTGTACGTTCACTATGGACGTCAATTTCGAACAATATATGCGATTTATTATGTTCATTTCTGCAAATCCTTTCTTCAGAAAGATTCTTTCAGCTGGCCAATTCACGATTCCAAATCGCGAATTCTACATAACAAGCAGAGAAATTGACGTCGATTGGATATCACACTGAATATCGCTTCTTTTACTATGTTATTGGATGATTCCTCATTTCTTTCAACACGCAAAATCAGATCGCATTGCACACTTTGTTTGATATGTGATTAAACTTGAGCAGCTTACTTCATTGAACTAGAACTGGAAATTAGGCTTGTTTAGCTTATTAAGGCTCAAGCTGACGTTGGACAGTAACGCCTTTATGATAAATGCTGATTAGATCTCAACAGTTAGATTCATTCCCATCAATATTTCAGCGATTCACCTTCTCAACCGTATTTTGGAAACAAAACAGTTAGTCCTCGAAAAGATACATTTTAAAGTCAGATCTCAAGGAAAGGA